TAACCTGTTCCGATGGGTCTCTGTTTTTGTATTTCATAATATATTTTTACAGAGGTTAAATAAAGATGAATGAATAAATGAAGCCATTCATTGAATAAGCATTTGATAGTCTTTATTTTTTACATTTCTAATTGATTATTCACCAAAACATGTTATTTGTAAAACAAACAAAAAAAAAAACAAATAATCTGAGGAGCCATTTGGGACCCGAAAGAGTCGATTTTTTTCAGTGAACCGAGCCAAAAGAACCGGTTCTCTAAAAAAAGAGCCGAAATTCCCATCAGTAGTGACTGAGTGAGAGCACGGAGTAGAGCCCCTGTGCTTACGCATGACGCACACACCCAGGCGGAAGAAGAAGTAGTCCCACCAACCGAGCGTCACTTAGACAACATCTCAATAATTTGGATACTTTTCACCATGTTTCTGTTTAGGATACACCTCATCTCAGAATGCGTAAGTTATCAAAAGTATCGATATTTTGATTTCGGAATCGATTTCAGAGCATAAAGATCCAGAATCGGAAGTATCGATATTTCAGGATCGATCCGCACATCACTAATTGTAACCATGGCGAGGTGTCGGTGGCATGAAAATATGGAGGCGAGATTGCTAGAGCTGTGGCACTGTCCACAATAAACGTAAACAATAAATAATAAATAAACAATAAACGTCTCCGACTCCAGATGCGCCTCTTCTATTTCGAAATTTCAGCGCACAGTATCGTAGCAATCATAATGACAGCCTTCTTTTTGAATAGCATGTTGCTAATAACCGGCGTCGGAACTTTCAAAAAAATCTTTATTGACAGCTGTCAGGGGCCGACGAGCCGTTTTCACCCGCACAGTGTGGGCTCTCTGGTCGTGTTCGATGATCGGACCGTACAGTGTGAGCACATAAATCGTGAGCTTTGTCCGTACATCAATCGTAGTGTGTGATGGTATCAAAGACAAGATTTTCAAAAATCGTACAGTGTATGCCCGCCCTTACTTTACCTGAATTGTTTGTTAATCGCTTAGTAAAGTTTGAATAAACAAATACTTTAGTTGTAAGGATTTACTTAAGTTTTTAAAAATATATAAGTAAAACAATGCATTAAATACAGAAATAAAATACAGAAAAAGTACCTGGTGCAGAAAACAACACTGTACAGTATGTACAGTACCAATGAGGACACCGTCAGGGTCAGCTGTTTTTCTCCTGCACATGCCTGCCCTTAATGTTAAGCTAAATAATATTAATAATAATACATTTTATTTCAAAGGCTAAATTGTTTTTTTTTCCTTGTTTGAAATGTTTAAAGAGACCTCCAGTCCAGTTCACTTGTTCAGAATGAGGCAGTTTTATTTGTCATCTTCCTCTACATTTACCATCTGTAAAACACAGTGAGATGCACTCCACTGCTAAAACTGAATTAAAATAAATGATCACAAACCTGGTTCTTTAACTGCTACCCAAACACTAGACAGAGAATTAAAACACAGCCACCATTTTAACCAGTTTAAAAAAGTGAATAAATGCATATTGTAAATGGTAGAATTTTCACTGTGTTCATAACTGTGTCCAAGACCTGTGTTTTTGGAAACCCAGATCAAATCACTCTGACTTTAAGTGTTAGCTGATATGAAGCATAATTCCGAAATCTTCCCAATGACACAACACTTTCAGTCAGACTGGATGATTGAAGAGGCAGCTCAAATACCTGATGCCTTCATCGTCCAGTCATGGTGACTCAGAGGCCTTTAAAAGATGCCGGCTATTGTTTCAGGTTACAGAAAAACAGCGCAACAAATGAATAATGAGTCTTTCAAGACCAACACAAAGTTCACCAATATTTTCTTTGTCATTATCAGGAACAGAGGATATTTAATGTCTCAATTCTCCCCAGCTCCTCTTTTTTCCCCTTTTTCTTGTGGTCTAATCTTTAACTGTAACCACTTTCTGTCTTTTAGAAGAAAAACAGCTGATCTTCAGAACGACCAAACCAAAACCTGTGTTCTCCAGATTCATCATTCACACCTGGCCAAGCATATTACTGTACATTAAAAACAGGAGGAGGACTGACAAACACCTGCAGTGTGTGACAAAATAGGAGTAAGAGTTGCTATAGTGATGCAGGAGAAGGGACCGAAATGTACACAAGTGTGCCGGCCTTCTGTGAGGGAAATATAAGTGACCTTCCTTTCCTTTTCCTTTGAAAGTAGTGTGTGTGTGTGTGCGTGTGTGGGAGGAAAAACTTCTCCATGCATGTGTTCTACACCAGCAGATTCTCTTGTGTACAGAGACACAAGGAGGAGGAACAAGACGTATTTATCAAAGCTTCAGAGCAGTTCTGATACTGAACTGACCAAGCATGTTGAGCACAGACATACTGTATTTGCAGATACAGTCAATAGCACAGCCTCCACCAATGTCTGACACAGTGTTTTCTTACACTGGTCTACAGCCGGGTCTCTAGTTTCCTTAAGTAACATCAGACAGAGAACCCTGTTTGACAAATATGGGTAAATAAAAA